CTTCAAGCAACAGCTCCAGACGTTCTCGCACGCTACGAACGCAAGATGCAAGGCAAGCCGGTTTCTTCGGCTCCACGCCGCGCCCGCGTCCAGGTTCCACCTTCAGATCGTCGGCTTCGCCCTCGCCCCGGCTTGACTTCATAAGGAGGGGGGGGGGTTACATGCTGCGCCTGCACATGCAGGCCATTTTCCAGGCCCTGCGTCCTTCAGGCCGAAAGCCTGAATTTCAGGCCGAAAGCCCGAAATCCAGGGCTTACAGGCCCCATGTCGGTTCAGCCCGAAAGCCTAAATTCCAAGGCCTACAGTCCGTGTGTAGTTTCAGACTAAAAATGGCAACAGCCTTTTTAGCCTGAAACGAAGGGCCATTTTTGGCCGTTCATCAGAACGACCGACGCTAAAACTCAAGCACCGAACCAGGGTTTTGGGAACAGGCTATTCTTAGCCTGTTCCCACGCCAGCCTCAAGCAGTTGCTGCAGCGCCAGCCCCTGGCACACTTCGGCATTGGCAAGAGCAGCCTCCTCGGCCTGGCTCGCCCTTCAGGCAGTCAGGAGGCAGGCCGAGGTAGTACATAGGAACTTCCCATGCACTTCACGAGGCAGGCAGGAGGCAGTTGTAGTCTTCAGGATGCGGGAGCAACACTCTGGAGGGAGCGCTGCAGGGAGTAGTCGTAACGTTAGCCTTTAGTCTTCAGCGCTGGGCGCAGTAGGTAGTTGTAGTCTCCAGCGCTGGGCGCCATAGCTAGGATAGCACTAGAGAGAGAGAGAGAGATTGGGCGGAGGCCTTGGGTACTCACCTGCAGCGCCGTTGCTCCAGCTTCGTCTTCGAGGTACCTGCAGAACAGCGCCAACATCACAGGTTAGTATCTGGCTCGTAACAGATAGAGAGAGAGAGTTATTCTTCTTCCTCTTCTCAGTCCACCATCTCCTTCTCCCCCTCTCATCATCTGACTTCACTGCATCTGGAGACTACGAGAGGCGAGAGACAGAGCTTGGTGACATCGGATCCAGACTCAACTTTTGGACTTCAGACATTACAACGAGGGATTATTTGGGACTTGAGACAAAGACTTGATGTTGACGACATTCCCATCTCTCTCCCTCCTTTTGTCTGATTCCCTCCTCTTCGTCTGTGTGTGTCTGGACCTGGCGCTTTCTTCCTGTGTACAGCGCCAAGCTCCCTCACGCTTGGTGATGGATACGATGTATGTTCGGTCTGCATTCAAACATTGATTGGGCTTGTCATTAGCATTCTAGCATTCTGCTTCGCTATCTTTTGCTACGTGAATGAGGTCAGTCCCGGTCAGGTCAGGACTTGTATCTAAATCTTCCACTGCACTATTCAGCACCATTCTGTATGTATGAGAATGCATATTGCTTGTTGAGATTCTACTTGCCTTGCATTGTCCATTTTGTCCTTTTTATCACATTGCGGATCTGAAGTTATGGTGTACATCGCTCATCTGAGCATGTAACAAGAACATGTGCGGTCTGGTGCGCCCTCTCCGTTTGGCCATCGGTTTGAGGGTGGCGAGCTGAACAAGGCTTGAGAGATGAGCCCCATCGCTTGATGAGCGCCAACCAAAAATCGGACATGAACCGAGTGTCGCGGTCGCAGACGATTTCCTTGAGGTAACCCTTGGTTCAAATCCAACCGGCGTAGAGAACCTCGACCGACTCCGGTGTCTTGGCATGATAGCGACAAGGTAAGAACATGGCCAACTTGGTGAGTCGGTCGACCACCGTGAGAATCCCATCCACTCCGGTCTTGTGCTTGGGGAACGGGCCGGTAATGTCCATGGCAATCGCTTCCCTTCACCTCAACGGGACCGGTAATGGTCATAACTCGTCGTACGGACGATGGTTAGGGGATTTGCAGCGTCGGCAAACCTCGCATGACTCGCAATAGCGTGTGACGTTGCCGTGAAGGCCGGGCCACCAAAATCGCTCGCGAAGTCGGCCAATCGTGCGATTGACTCCAAAGTGTCCGGTGGCGAGAGCATTGTGGAACTCGCCAAGAAGCTGTGTACGAAAGTGAGGGTCACTCGGTACGCAAGGAAGGTCCTTCCCCCGCGTGTGGACAAGCAAGTACCCCTCTTGGATTCGGTAGTGAGAAGGCGCCGGATTAGGAGAGGAGCAATTCGCGTACTTGTCGCGAAACTCGGGGTCGGCTTGGTAGCCGCGGATGAAGCTGTTCCGCAGGTCATCGTCGATCTCAAAGGTTGAGTAGACCGGGTACAATGATCCGGACGCCGTGAAAGAGCATCCGCAAAACGGTTCGACTTCCCGAGAATGTGATCCGGAAAGAAGTCGAACTAATCGATGAAAGCCATCCATCGAGCGATGGTGCTGTTGACGGTGTCTTGGGTCTTATAGAAGACCAACGGATTGTTGTCCATTACCCATCGAAATTGGCTTCGACCAAGGAGGAAGGGCCGCCACCGTTTGACCGCGTGGACGAAGGCGAGGAACTCCTTGCGTGCATCGTCAACGGAATGCATGACGGGCACTTTCTTACTGAAATACTCGACCGGGTGCTAGTCCACACCATCACGTTGTTCAAGGACTGCACCAATGTCATAGCCTGATGCATCCGTAGTGACGCGCGTAGGCAAAAGCGGGTCGTATATCCACAAGACCTCCGCAGATAATAGCGCGGCTTTGAGAGCCAAAAATGATTCCCGCGCCTCCTCTCCGAAGTCAAACGGTCAATCCTCGCATTGAAGCTTGGTCAAGTGGGCTGCGATCTTCGAGTAGCCTTTGATAAAACGCTGGTAGTAGCCGGCGAGGCCAAGGAACGAACGAACATTTGTGACGTTCCGAGGCTCCGGCCACTCTTGGATCGCTTGAATCTTGTCCGATAGCGGACTGATGCCCTCCGGTGTGACAAAATGGCCCAAGTATTCCAGCTCTTGCCAGACAAATTCGCACTTGTCGCGGTTGGCCTTGTACTTGGCGCAGTGGAGCGTCTCCAACACTCGTCGAAGATGCCCAAGATGATCCTCCAATGTCCGGCTATAGACGAGAATATCATCTAAGTAGACCAGCACGAACCGGTCCAACATTGCACGAAACTCGTTGGTCATTGCCGCTTCAAAGGTTGCCGGGGCGTTGGTGAGGCCAAAAGGCATGACCACCCACTCAAAATGCCCGTACCACATCTTGAACGCGGATTTGTAGCGATCATTCGACCAGATCGAGATTTGATGATATCCTGATTTCAAATCCAACTTAGAAAAATACCTTGCGCCGCCCAATCGCTCAAGAAGATCGTCGATGCGAGGGAGAGGCCCCGCATTCTTGACGGTTTGCACGTTGAGCTTGCGGTAGTCGATACACAATTGTAGATCCTTGTTCTTCTTCCGGACGAAGAGAACCGGTGCTCCATATGGGGAGCTACTAGGGCGGATCCAGCCCTTGGCCAACAAATCGTCGAGTTGTGCGCGGAGGACCTCAAGCTCCTCCTCGCTCATCCGATAGATGCAACCTTTCGGCGGCACGACACCGGCCTTAAGAATGATCTCGTGAGAGATCGGCCGGTCCAGCACCACACCGGAAGGTGACTCGATGATGTCGACGAACTCGTCCAGCAACCGCACCTCCCGGGGGTCCGAAGACAAGCCCGTGGGTGAAGCGTCCGCTACCGCGACGGTCCGTAGGAAACATAGGCCAATCTCCTCGGGCTGCTCGTAAGCGCAAGTTGCCCTGAATGATTTGGCCGTCACCACTTGACACCGAATCGAAGGGTGCGGTAAAGGAATAGTACATGCCACTTCCGCGCCGAAGGCGTCGCAAACGCTAAGAGTCCGCCTGTGGAAGTTGACTGTGTGATCCGCACTTGCAAGCCAAGGCATTCCCAGAATGATGTCGAAGTCCGTGTCGAGAATATCGAATGTCACCGGTTCGCATGCATGAGGTGCGAAATAAACCGGTACGGCCTCAATGTATCGGTCGAGAAGTTGCTGCGTTTTCCCATCCGCCAACTTGATCGCCGTCAGGTTTGCCTTCCTCCAAACTTGTGCGCCAAGGCCAGCCCTTTGCGTAAAGGATTGGCTCATGAAATTGCGAGACGCGCCGCTATCCAGCAAAGCGTTGCAGGACGCTTGCCCAACTTGAATGCGGACATACATGAGCGGTGCGTTGTTGTCATCGTACCGCTGCGTGCGAAACTCGCGGGCCACCTTGGTAGTATACGCAAGGATGTCCCCCACCGCGACTTCGTCATCCGTCGGCAAAGTTGGTGGTGCATAGAAGGATAAGTAAGTGTGGAGATGAGCGCATAGTGCTGCGCATTGCGGTCCCGACAAGCGGCCTGTGGTCGGGAGAGGAAGCCATGCAAAGTCCTTGGACATGAGCGGGTCCAATACCTCTATGTTGGACTCGCGTGCCGAATCCCGTGAAGAACCACGTGAAGACGATAAGTCGTCGTTGCCGGACGGAGAAGATGTCGCACACACGTCTTGTCCTTGAGCTTGAGTACCCAGCGTAGGAACGAGCCGGGCAGCATAGTCCTCAAAAGAAAATAGATGAGGAGGACTATCGACTTCCGCCTGCGCCTCGGAATGAAGGCCGGTTACTCGCGAAGAAACCGGTTCCGAAGGCGTCGAGAGTGTTGTCGAGTCACTCTCGGCGGTGCTCAGTTTCCCTGTTTGCCCTTGCCTTTCAATGGGCAGACCAGTGTCTGATGAAGATCACTGTTGCACCATAGGCAATAGTGGAATCTCGTGCACGCCTTGAATGCTTGCTCGGAGATGTCGTATTGGGTCCAAGGGGCTGGAGCTGCTGCGCCGGGCCCGGGGCTAGATGCGGTGTGTGTCTTCGTCTTGCCGCGTCCTCGTTCTCTGCAGGGGCGGCCACCTTCCCGGGCGGTTGGGAGTCTATCTCCTTCATTGGCAGACGCAGCCTCGCTAGTTTGGTCAAACGGCGTTGCCGCCGCGACCACGGCCACTCTTGGCCAATGCTGGTCCCTGCTCGGGCCTGCCGCAGACAAACGGAGGTTCTTAGCCTCCTTGTTCGTAATGATGATCTGCGCGGCTTTGTCAAAAAGTTTCGCCGTTGTCGTCAAGGTGTCCTCGACATGAGTCAGGGCATTTCTTAATGTCGGACAGGACCTTGAGATGAAATAGTGGCGGATGGCTTTGAAGCCATCTAGATGTCTGGGACTGACGTCAAGCGTTGGTACTCGGCGATCCAGTCGGTACTCGGCAGCGTGCCTTGTTTGAAGACCATGAGCTTGTCCATAGCCTTGATCTCCGACGGCTCGACTTGGAACCGCTTGTGCCACGCCGCCTTCAAATCATCCCAGTTGATCTTGGTGTGCAAGTCGACAGCTACCACTCCGTAATTGGACAAGAGATTGTCCAACCAAGCCTGGCACGCGCCCCCTGAGCGAGAGTATAAGTATGCGTGGTGCTTGTGTTCTTTGACGTTGTGTAGCTGCAGCGTGAGCTCGAACTTGCGGAACCATGGAATCGGGTCTGTCTTCATTGAGTCGCAGAAGATCTCCTGCCCGTCAAACTTTGGAGCTGTCTCGCGCGGTTCCGAACTTGAGGTGTTGGCGGTATCACAGATCCGCTTTTCCAACTGTTGCGTTGCGGTCTGCCGCAACTGCACGCCGTCCTTCAGGGAGCCAACGTCCATCTCCAATGCTTCGAGGCGATTGGAGGTGTTGGAAGAGCTTGCATCGGGGGCGGCGACAGGTCGCTGCTCTAGCTGCCGGAGGCGGCCTTGGACTTGAGTTAGCGAGTCATCGAGGCTATGGATATCCTCCTGCTGTGTAATGCATGTCGCCAGGAGGTCTGTGAGATGGGAGATGAGGAGAGCGATCTTGTTTTCACTATCCTCCAGCTTGCCATTCTCGGCCTCGGTCCGCCATTCCACTGCCATTGTGAGCAATGTTTGCTCTATGCCAAATATCTTATCACGACGTTGAATTCTTTCTTCATCGGCAGCCTTTGCTGCTGCCTCGTCATGCTGGCGTTGTTGTTCAGGTGCCAGCAGACGTGCCTGCTCGGCGTCCTATGCCTTCTTCTTCGCTGCTGCTGCTGCGTCATCCGCCCGTTTCTTTGTTTCGGTACTCCGAGCTAGCATCCGGGCCTGATAGGCCTCGTCTGCTTCTCCGGACGTCTGGTCCATGACGGCTGTTTGTGACCGCAACAACATATACCAGGCCGGGGGCCTGCTGACGTGGTATTTCCTGCTCTGTCGGCTGACGTGGCCTGCTGACGTGTCCTGCTGACATGGCTTGCTTACGTGGTCTGCTGGTGTGCCCTGCTGACGTAGTCCGCTGACGTGGCAACTCACCAATGTCGTCGCACGGGGTACCCGGAGATGGATAGAGAAGGTAAGGCCAGAGGGGGCAACAACATAGGTGGGGAGGGTGGGTGGGGAGAATCGCCCAGATAAAGAGCCACTAATCAACAAAGAAAAGTTTGAACTTTGCAAAAAAAAAAATTGAAATAATAAAATCCCGAGTTTTGCAAGTTCAGTAGGTCTCCCAACAAAAAAGTGTGAATTGATCAATGAGAGAAAAAAAAAATCGACTTCAGACTGCAAATGATTTATAGAACTGATTGACAGAATCCTAGAACTGCGAAAAAAAATAAATCGGAAAAGAAATAAAATATTCGGACTTGCTAAAATGAGAGTATTCGCAGCTTGGAAAATAATACCTGCAGGAGGGATTTTGCGTACTGTTTTCAGAAAAACGAATTTCGAAAAAAAGATATTCCAAATTTTTAAGTAACGGAAAATGCAACAGGAAATCAAAAGTTTTGAAAAGAAGGATATTCCGGATTTTCAACAACGAAATTTCGAATTTTCAGAAGGAAAACGAAAATGGAAATTTCAGATGTTGCGCTATTACGATTTTCCACAACAGAAATAGCAAGAAAACAAAATCCAAGGAAAGAAAAAAAATTTTGATTTTCGGCAGTAAGGTCAAAATCGTGATTTTGGGGTCTAACTAGTGTGCTCTAATCAATCAATATAGACTAATCAGCTACCTAGTCCCTTCACACGTGTCGGATCAGGTTGTCCTGATTCACGTGCGGCGTTCCGATACCAACTGTTAAATGCCCAGTTGGGCGATGTACATAGAAACCGAGGATCCGCAATGTGATGGAAAGGACTGAATGGGCAATGCAGTGCCAGTAGAATCTCAACAAGCAATGTGCATTCTAATACATACAAAATGTTGCTGAATAGCGCAGGGAAGACTTAGATACAAATCCTGACCTGACCGGGGCTGACCTCGTTCACATAGTATCAGATAGCGAAGCAGAATGCTAGAATGCTAATGACTTGCCCAATCAATGTTTGAACGCAGACCAAACATACATCGTATCCATCACCAGGTGTGAAGGAGCCTGACGCTGTACACAGGAAGAAAGCGCCAGGTCCAGACATACACAGACGAAGAGGAGGGAATCAGACGAAGAGGAGAGGGAGAGATGGGAATGTCATCAACACCAAGTCTTTGTCACAAGTCCCAAATAATCCCTCGTTGCAATATCTGAAGTCCAAAAGTCGATTATGGATCCAATGTCACCAAGCTCTTTCTCTCTTCTCTCGTAGTCTGCAGATGCAGTGAAGTCAAATGATGAGAGGGTGAGAGGGAGATGGCGGACTGAGAAGAAGAAGAAGAAGAACTCTCTCTCTGTGTTACGAGCCAGATACTAACCTGTGATGTTGGCGCTGTGTTGCAGGTACCTCGAAGACGAAGCTGGAGCAACGACGCTGGAGGTAAGTACCTCTGGCCTCCGCCCAATCTCTCTCTCTCTCTAGTGCTATCCTAGCTATGGCGCCCAGCGCTGGAGACTACAGCTACCTACTGCACCCAGCGCTGGAGACTACAGCTGCACCCAGCGCTGAAGACTAAAGGCTAACGCTACTACTACCCTGCAGCGCTCCCTCCAGAGTGCTGCGGCCGAATCCTGAAGACTACTACTGCCTCCTGCCTTCCCGTGAAGTGCATGGGAAGTCCCTATGTACTACCTCGGCCTGCCTCCTGACTGCCTGAAGGGCGAGCCAGGCCGAGGAGGCTGCTCTTGCCAATGCCGAAGTATGCCCGAGGATGGCGCTGCAGCAGCTGCTTGAGGCTGGCGTGGGAACAGGCTAAGAATAGCCTGTTCCCGAAACCCTGGTTCGGTGCCTGAGTTTTAGGGCCGGTCATTCTGATGAACGACCAAAAATGGCCCTTCGTTTCAGGCTAAAAAGGCTATTGCCATTTTTAGTCTGGAACGACACAGGGACTGTAGGCCCCTGTTTTCAGGCTTTCGGGCTGAACAGTCACGGGGCCTGTAGGCCCTGGTTTTCAGGTTTTAAGCCTGAATTTCAGGCTTTCAGCTTGAGGGACGCAGGGCCTGGAAAATGGCCCTTATGTGCAGGCGCAGCATGTAACAAGTGAGGAACTCTTCAACAAAGCCGCGCAGATCATTGTGACGAATTTGGTAGCCAGGAATACGGGCCACTCGTCGACTGCCGGCTGGGGCGCGAATCAGCATCGGCCGAAAGTGGCCATGGTCGCAGCAGCAACGCCTAGCGACCCTTCAATTTTAAATGAGGCTGTTTCGTCTGACGAGGGAGACAGACTCGCAGCTGCCCAGAATGGTGGCCGCCCGGCCTAAGGACGAGGACGCGGCAAGACGAAGACGAACACCACTACTTCTGGGCCCGGGCAAGCAGCTCAAGAGCAAGGACCTTGGACAGCGTACGCGCTTACGGAGCGCGGGTACCGAGTCGACACCAAGTACCACTATTGTTTGTGGTGCAACAGCTCAGCACATGAGACAGCGAGCTGTCCCACGAAGGCCAAGGGTACCGCCCGGTTGGGAAAGTGAGCACCGCCGAGAGTGACGCGACGGCACTCTCGACGCCTACGGAACCGGTTGCTGTACGAGTAACCTCCCTCAGTTCCGAGGCACAGGTGGACGTCGTAAGTCCTCCCATTCTTCACTCCTTCGAGGACTATGCTGCCCGACTCATACCTTCGCTGAATTCACAAGCCCAAGGACAGGATGTATGTGCGGTTTCTTCTCCGATCGGAAGCAGCGGCATTGATTCGTCTTCAAGTGGACCTTCACGGGATTCGGCGCGCGCGTTCAACATAGAGGACTTGGACACGTTGACGCCCGAGGATTTTGCATGGCTTCCTCTCCCTTCCACCGGCTGCTTACCGGAGCCGCAATGCGCAACTCTTAGCGCTCATCTCCATACATACCTAGCCTTCTATGCACCACCAACTTCGCCGACGGAGGACGAAGTCGTGGTGGGGGACATTGTTGCGTATGTGAGCAAGGTGGCCCGCGAGTTTCGCACGCAGTGGTATGAGGACAACAACGCACCGCTATTTTATGTCCGCATCCAAATCGGGCAAGCATCCTGCAGCGCTTTGCTGGATAGCGGCGCGACTCGCAACTTCATTAGCCAGTCCTTCATGCAAAGGGCCGGCCTTGAACCACAAGTTCAAAGGAAGGCACACCCTACGTCGATCAAGTTGGCGGACGTAAGAACGCAACAACTCCTTGATCGCTATATCGAAGCCGTCCCGGTTTATTTCGCACCTCATGCATGCGAACCGGTGACGTTTGACGTCTTGGATACGGACTTCGACATCATTCTGGGCATGCCTTGGCTTGCAAGTGCGGATCACACGGTCAACTTCCATCGGCGGACAGTTACGGTTCGCGACGCGTTTGGCGCCGAAGTACCATGTACTATTCCTCCCCCGCACCCTTCGATCCGGTGCCAAGTTGTAACAGCCAAATCTTTTCGGGGCACTTGCGCTTACGAGCGGACCGAAGAGATAGGCTTATGTTTTCTTCGAACCATCGCGGTAGCCGACTCTCAACCCACGGACTTGTCTTCGGACCCCCGGGTGGTGCGGTTGCTCGACGACCGACGTCTTCGAGGCACCTACCGGCGTGGTGCCGGATCGGCCGATCTCACACGAGATCATTCTCGAGGCCGATGCCGTGCCGCCAAAAGGTTGTATCTATCGCATGAGCGAGGAGGAACTTACAGTACTCCGCGTGCAGCTCGACGACTTGTTGGACAAAGGCTGGATACGGCCTAGCAGCTCACCCTATGGTGCGCCGGTTCTCTTCGTTCGGAATGCACAAACCGTCAAGAACGCGGGACCTCTTCCTCGTATTGATGACCTTCTGGAGCGCTTGGGCGGCGCAGAATTTTCTTCCAAACTGGACTTGAAGTCAGGATATCATCAGATCTCGATTCGGCCGCAAGATCGCTACAAGACCGCGTTGAAGACACGGTACGGGCACTTCGAGTCGTCATGCCTTTTGGACACACCAACACCCTGGCGACTTTCCAAGCGGCGATGACCAACGAGTTTCATGCAATGCTGTACCAGTTCGTGCTGGTCTACTTGGACGACATCCTCGTCTATAGCCGGACCTTGGAGGAACATCTTGACCATCTTCGACGAGTGTTGGAGACACTCCGGCGCGCCAAGTTCAAAGCCAACCTCGACAAGTTCGAATTCGTACGCCAAGAGTTGGAATACTTGGGCCACTTCGTTAGCGTCTTCCTTGTCCATTGCGCACCGGCGACCTCGTATGGGTTTCCGCTGCGGAATTCAGCCTCGAACAAGACATCTCTCGCAAGCTCCTTCCGAAATGGATGGGGCCCTGGCCGATCGTGGCACCCGCTGGGGACGCACCCGAAGGACCATTCATCATTCATGTGCCCGCCCACTTGCCCTTCAACCCGGTCTTTCACTGTTCCAAGTTGGCTCGCTACACGCCAGCGGAACTTGACGACTTTCCCGGGCGACGATCGCAAGACCCACCCTCGATGGACGGTTTCCAAGAGGTTGGCGACATCATATCCCAGCGACGTTACGGCAACAGGCCGACGAAATTTTTGGTCCACTTTGCATATTGCACCCATAGAGCTGACCGATGGCTGACTCGTGCGGAACTTCAGGCAACAGCGCCCGATGCTCTGGCACGCTATGAACAGAAGTTGAAAGGCAAGCCAGCATCCTCGGCTCCACGCCGCACTCGCGTCCAAGTACCGCCTTCGGATCGTCAGCTTCGCCCCCGACCGGCTTGACTTCATAAGGACGGGGGGGTGTTACATGCTGCGCCTGCACACGGGCCCCATTTGAGGGGCAGGACGGTTGCTGAGGGGCCCCCAGGCCGTGTACCATCCAGCACGCGGCCTGGAGGCCCACGGCGGCCCTCCAGGCCCTAGGCAGCACACTAGGTAGATAGGTTTGTTTTACTTACCTTTTTTTTTGTGTGTGTGCTGTCTTATTTTTGTCTGTTCAGGTGCCGTTTCGGACTGGCAGCCCCAAGGCCGGACCTTGGGACTGGGTACACCGGAGGCAGGCCCGAAACGAGGCCAGGCGCCTTTTGGCGCCAAACCGGTAGGTACAGGCGTCGTTTCGGCCCTGCAGGACCCAAGACAACACCTTGGGCCAGGTGCACCGGTAGGAGGCCGTTTTTAGGCCAGGCGCATTTCTGCGCCATGCTGCATCAGCAGCAGGGTCTGGACGTCCGGTAGGGACCCAGACCACCTGGGCCGTTTTCTGAGGCCAGCACCAGGTAGGCCCAGCCGCCCAGCGCTACAAATAGCTGGGTCGTGGCTGGGCAAAGAACAGTTCGAGTAGCTCACTTCTGAGCGACACGCTGCTGGTTAGGAGAGCGCTATACTGCGCTGGGCTGTGGAGTGGAGAGGAGAGGCATAGAGGAGATAGGGAGTGGCGGAGGCCATACCTGCAGTCGGCGAGCTTACCTGGCGCCATAGCTGGGCTCCACGCGGTACCTGCACACGACGACGGACACAATCAGTACGGTGGCAGCGACCTGCAGGTGAGATAGYGAGGAGRACTTCATCTCKYSTCTCCCTCCTCYMTCTCTCTCTCTCTCTCTCTCTCTCTCTCTCTCTCTCTCTCTCTCTCTCTCTCTCTCTCTCTCTCTCTCTCTCTCTCTCTCTCTCTCTCTCTCTCTCCTCCCTCCTTCCTCCTCTCCCTCATCTTCTTCTTCGAATCTGAGAGTGTGAGAGGTTATCAGTAGGGATTCAGGCAGAGGTTACGCTGGGCGCATTGCCCAGGATCTGATTCGACATTTCTGGGACAGACGTTGATTGGACACTCGGCAAGCGACTATTTTCGGGACTTCGCTATTGCGATCTTGGTCCACTCCCTCGCCTCCTTCCTCCTTCGTCTCGTCCCTCCCCCATCTCTCATCCGTGGTATCTCCCCATGCATGTGTGCGAAGGAGGGACCTTTCTTCCATGGTTGCGGTCCCTCCTCTCTCTCTCTCATGTGTGATGTGTGATGGATGTCGGGTCAGTCCAGATCAGATCAGATCTTCTCTTTAAGTCTTCCACTGCGCCATTTTGTGCCATCTTGTATGTATTCGGAATGTACATTGCTTGTTGATGCTACGCTGGCCTCACATTGTCCATTTCAGTCCTTTTCATCACATAGCGGATCCTTGGCTCCCTGCGCATGGTCCCATTGGGCATGCATCTCTCTCTCTCTCTCTCTCTCTCTCTCTCTCTCTCTCTCTTGATGTTCTGTGGCGCTTTGCAGCCAGCGCTTCATTTTCGGAATCGGAATCAGCCGAGGGAGTTGTTGGAGGTGTCTGGCGGCGTCCGGTAGGCCCTGAAACGGCCAAAATATACCGGGGGCATTTTTTGGGGGCAGCCTAGGACCCGAAAAACGTCCTCGGACCCCCCCAAAAGAAATTCAAAATTGGGCCCAATCCAGACCTACCGGACCAGACACCGGACGCATACCCAGACAACCGGACCGTCTGGATTCCAGTCCAGACGTCCGGCCGGTTGCCATGGAAAAGTCGTGACTGCAATTGCGTCTAGCGCTCAGTAGAAAAAGTCCTACCACAGAGTTGGCTCCAAAGTTCAACGTCTCCATTGCCGTTCTACGGCAAGTTCTTTATTTGTTTTTTTTACCTACTGCAAGTTTTGAAGTCAAACTTCGGTAGAAAACTTGTTGATAGAGATAATGAGCATAATTATTTTTCACATTTTTCTAGCATAATTCATTTGTGTTCAAAGCACCTGAAGCATCAAAATGGTGGTGATGAAATTAATAAACAGTTTGCTGAGTTTGCAGCAATCCTGTCCGTCGCAGGTATTCCTTACAAGCAACAGCTTTTTTTTCACACAACAAGATATTCAACATTAACCACTGCTGTCCTGTGGGATATCCGTGCAAATTGGAATGATAGTTACTTTACAGAGAAGATAACCATGGCCCCTGCACAAAGACGGCACACACAAATCGAGAAATAATATGATATCGGTGGTCATCGAAAGGCAGAGGAAGAGCAGGAGAGGAAGAGGAGGAAGAGGAGGAAGAGGAGGACGAGGAGGACGAGGAAGAGGAGGAAGAGAAGGAAGAGGAGGAAGAGGAGGAGGAGGAAGAGGAAGAGGAGGAAGAGGAGGAGGAGGAAAAGGACAAGGACCAGGAAGAGAACAAGGAAAAGGAGGAAAAGGAGGAAGAGGAGGAAGAGGAGGAAGAGAAGAAGGACAAGGAGGAGGAAGAGGAAGAGGAGGAAGAGGAGGAAGAGGAGGAAGAGGAAGAGGACGAGGAAGACAAGGAAGACGAGGAAGGCGAGGAAGAGGAGGAAGGCGAGGAAGAGGAGGAGGGAGGAAGAGGACAAGGAAGAAGAGAAGAAGAGGACGAGGAAGAGGAGGAAAAGGACAAGGAAGAGGACAAGGAAGAGGGCAAGGAAGAGGACAAGGAAGAGGACAAGGAAGAGGAGGAAGAGGAGGAGGAAAACTCATATTATGATGGCAGTTTCTTGAACAGTTCAGCGATTCAAGGATTGCTCCCACCTCTCACGCACCTCTTCATCATATCTTGATACTCGAAGGTTTCCTGCCCTATGCAGGGCATAAAACAGCGTGAATGTCGTTATTCCGACCCATGCTGCTATGAATAGTGCACCGAGGATCTGAATGAACAAGAGGACAAAGAGAACAGGCCACTGACATTAGCACGATAGTCAGGGTTGCACCCCCCGACGGTCGGCGGCCCTTGACTGGTCGGCACCTACCTGTCAGGGGTCGTCGGCACCCAGCAAAAAAGAAAAAAGAAAAAAAAGGGGTCCGCAACCCCTAATAACACCAGCAACACCCCCATAGCGGCCCCCAATACCCCC